CTGGCAGGATGAATGTTTCTTCAGCTGTTTTCCAACTGCTTTGAAATCCCACAAGTGCACACATAACAGTCCAGGAAGACCCAAGTACAGGAAAGAAAGTTATCGGTCCTTGCTTTTCTGGAAGAGAAAGGGTGGAGGAAAAACTGTCCAATGGAAGGATGTGGTAGCTGGACTGGATAACTTGCCATCTTCTGCCAAATTCCTCAGTCTGGACAAGATTTTTTAAGCCAGTTTAGAGTCAGACTGTCATGAGCACAGCATGGAAGCATTTTAAATGTTAAGTCCAGATATGATGCATTTCATCTGGAGAGCAGGCTAACCAGGTCATCTAATCATAGCCTTCACCATTGTAATGAGATGTCCTGCATTTCCTTTTAAATTATAGTATTCTGAACGTTTCTTCTACACACAGGCTTTTACAGAAGTCTTTGTTCCTTTATAGGTTGCCATGCCACTCTGCCCTAAGAAAAAGCCTTTAAAAACTATGTTGGGGAGGATGGGGGACAGACTGAGGCCTAGTTGTAGCGGTTTTCTTGTTTGTGACTTAGTACTCCCAGCCATCATCATCTTCTTCTTCTTCTCCTCCTCCCTCTCCTTTTCTAGTTTTCCCCCAATTTTTCCTCATGTTTATTCTCTCAGGCTTTCTCATCTCTACCCTAACAAATTTATTCCATGTAAAATAGAAAAGAAATTGTAGGGCCATTAGGTTTCTCCAGTATTCTCCCTTATTTTATTTGAAATGTTGATTTCATCATAAAATAGAAGTAACAGGAGGATAATTTCATAATTTAAGTGCTAAATAAATGATTCTCAATTTTTGCTGTGTTGCAGGAATTTGTGAGACTTACAGTGTCTGATATTCTTGTGACATTCGTAACAATCCTAGTGGGAGATTTCCTTCGGGCTTGTTTTGTGAGATTCGTAAACTACTGCTGGTGCTGGGATCTCGAGGCTGGATTTGTAAGTCAGCAATTTGCATAGGAAGCACAAGATCCAGCTTAGAAAGCATTTTAGCAAATGCTTTGAGCTACGCTTTCATACTTTTTCTTTCTTCTGGTGAAAAGATTATGTACGGGAAGCAAGTTGTATAATTCAGCACCAGCAGCAGCAACAGCAGCATCTCTTACCTTTCCCTTCAACAAACCATCAAGATGGATAGTAACATTTTTAAAACAAAAATATAATTTTTAAAAAAAAGATGAAAATGAGAAAATGAGAACCTGCACATACTAAAATGTTAATCATATGAATACAAGGCAAACCACAAGATCCTGTGAACTGTAATGCAAAAACATTCATTGGCATTTCCTTAATGGTTTAACTCTACAGATAGGATTGGAAAATCTCCCTATGCTCAGGGTACTTTATTTATTTATTTATCATTTATTAGATTTATGTCTTACCTCTTGTACAGGAATGCAAGTTGGCATACATAATGTTCCCTCCTCCTATTTGTCCTCAAACAGCCACCCTGTGTGGTACGGCAGACAGAGAGAGATCAACTGGCCCAAAATCCCCCAGTGAGCTTCTGTAGCTAAAGGTGAACTAGAACCTGGGTTTCCCCACCCTTAGTCCAACATCTAAACCAGCCATACTTGCTCTCTTTTGATCCCCAATTAACATTCCTAATACCTCCACTTACAGGGTCTTACAAAAATGTGTTATAAAGGATATCAGCCTGGGGCTTGGGAAAGTTGCATAAGGCATATTAGCATTTATATCATATTCCTTGTTTTCTCTACAGCCTTCATATGCAGAGTTTGATATTAGTGGTAATGTGCTAGGTTTGGTCTTCAATCAAGGAATGATCTGGTAAGATACTCTTGCCTGATAACATTCTTAGCTGAAGAAAATTATAACAGTAATTGTTTCATCTACACTGAACTGAGGAAAATTGCTGTGTATTCCATAGTTATGGTTTTTCAGAGTTGCTAGAATATTCCATATATTTTCAATACATTTTAATTAGGACTAGGACATCTTACAGAACTGTGTTTTTTTCCCATTTGAATTTACCTTTTTCAGAGGCTGTGGGACCCCAGGGGATTTCAATATGCATATTAAACTGTTTCTTTTGATGCAGATCAAGTGTTCATGGATTGCATAACAGCCATGAAGCTGTTTCAATATTCAATATATTATTCTCCCAACACATGTGGCAAGTTCCACTTTAATTGTTTTTCTTGATTGGAAAGAATGTGGGAGATCTAGTATCTTTTCCACTCTTGTAGTGAGATCATTACTTGTTCAGATTTAGATTTTCATTGGCTTTTTATAAGGATGGAAGACCAGTTAGGAGAACCAGCCCACAGAACCCAATGTATCCTAATGGACCTGTCAGTAGCTTACACTCATATGTCTTCAATTAATTATGTGGCAGGTGGGAGAATCAATACAGTTAGCATTGTGAATTTGCCCTAGAATAGAAATATTGTACATAGTATTGTGGTTTTAACTTTATTAATGGCAAGCAAAATTCAGACTTTTCCCATACTCAACATCCATTGTTACTGTCTCAAAAACATCAACTCCACATTAACCAAACTATTTATTTATAATGGTTTATGCCCTGCTGGTCATCTGGACGAGTTTGGGGAATGGCTTATGGATCACGAACAACAAGGTCATTTTTGTTACCTTCAGGGTTATAAACTACAAATATAAATATTAAAAAAAATTGATGTAATGCAGCTGGAAATTCTCACAATGACCAAGTGAATGGAAACATTCAAAGAAAGGGCATACCAGAAAGTACAATCCTCTCAGCTGTGTCTAGGAAGCAGCCCTATTTCCATCTCTCGTAAGGCTTTATAGAATGGCTACTGATGACAGATCACAGGCAAGACTAATGAATGAGCTAATGGTGGCTGTTTTCCTTCTCTGCTACTCTTCAGTGGACTGATGAAAAAGCATATTTTTGCCATTCAAAAAGCATTGTTTTAATACCTACCCTATCGGCCTTCCAGAAAAAATTGAAGACCTGGCTCTGCCAGCTTGCGTGGGGGGATAACAACTCTACCCAATCCTGGGGGTGGCTAGTGCCTCGATGACATTCCCTAAGTGATCGCCAATTATTTTGGATCTTTTTATTT